GAATGCCCAAAGCGGTTAAGACGATGGAAAGTCTGGATTTTCGGAAATTCCAGAAAGTCCGTTACCTGATTGCGGAAGAGATGGAGGTCATTAAGAAATTTTTCATTGCAAACGTCAGGAAGTGGTATACTACTCTTTATTTCAGACGGAAGTCAGGAAGATGAGAAAAGCCTCGAATCTCCTATTTGTGTAGGTTAGTTCTATTGCTTAAACTTTCTTCTGATGTAATTTTGAGTGTTTGAAATAGAGTGCAATTGTTTAGGGGGATGAAAACCTCCGATGATTTACATGATTCTATCTGATGATTTTGGTTTTTCAATGGTAAAAAAAGAATAGCGCAGTAGATGGTACAGACGATGGTAGAAGTAATCCAGGTGACCTAGTTCTGAGGGTGATGGAAATGGAGTAGTAACAATTTGTTTGACTGAGATGGAGTAATGATTTGTTTAGTAACTTAATAAAACAGATTTGCAATGTGTATGGGATTGGAGTAACTATGGTATGGATGGGAATAAAGTAATGGAGATTTAGGAAGTACAGGGGTTTTAGTAACTACGGAAGAAGTAGTCATCTCCAATAAGGTTCTGTGGTAGTAACTTTTGATTTGCAGGACTTGGGTAAGGCAGTAAGGTAGTTGTAGTACGTAGTAATGTTTTCTAAGTAATGTTTATGAAGTAAGTACAAGTTAAACTACAGTAGTCACTGTTAGTGTTAGATTAGTAAAGGAAATAGTTACATATGTATGATTAAAATAAAGATTGTTTACGAAATACTCCGTAGTAAATACTATCGGTAGTTACTAGAGTAGTAATGACAGTATAGTAATTTATGTTCAATTTTTCACTTAAGTTACCACGACACAACATTGTAGTAACTATTAGTTATATATATGTAATTAAGTTTTATTTTTCTAATATTTTTGAAAAAAATGCATAGTAAATTCTGTAATAATAATCAAAGTAATGCACTTGAAGTAAGAAACGAGAAGTATAGAAGTAGTACTACGTAGTAAGTAACCAGTATTTTGTCTTACTATCTTCAATAACATCAATTAATAAGAGTGTAGTCATTAAGGTCTGAATAGTAGCAAGTAAGGGTGTTGACATTAAGGTAAATAACATCAATTAATAATGGTTGTAAATAACATTTATATCACTAAGGTATTGTAATTATATTGTAATGACTTGTTTCATTTTGTTTCAGAGAGATGGAAACTGTTTTAGTGACGGTGTTAAAAGGAGTTTGGTGGAATGAGAATAAGGAAATAGAAACGACATCTACACATGGTATGATTGTAAATTCTTTGACAACATATGGAGGTCTGGTTGCACAGTTATGGGAGTTATTAAGTGTTGATATAAAGGCCCGGAATGTGCAAACAAGTGTTGATACAAAGTTCCAGGATGCACTTGTAGAGACTTCTAGTTGGAGGAGTACTTTGTGTGTGTTCAAGCGGTTGTTGTAATTGGACACATGAGTGGACTGTCATGTTATGATTATGTATCAAATTATTACAAGACGAGCACATGGTGTGAGACATACTCCGGGGTGATTCATCCCATTGGCGCATACTCGAATGATGACATTCCAAAGGAGTATAGGAGGTCGGTGGTTAAACCTCATGTGTGCAAAAATCGAACAGAGGGGAGACCAAAGACAGAGAATTCGTTCAACCGGTGAATTTAGGAAAAAACAGAAGTGCTCAAGATGCAAGCAACACAAGCATAATAAAATATATTGCAATAATTCAATACCATTGTAGATTATTGAAATATAAACTACAAAATATAATATTGAAGATAGGAGGAAAGATTTTCTATATATTTCATTGAAGGGTAAGGCCCTATAAATATAGATTACAAAGATAGAATATTCATATAAAAGATGCTATACAATAATACTATGTATGGTATATTCCTAATATATTCTAAAGCATATTCTAAAGTATATTCTAATATACTTTCACACTCTCCCTCAAGTTGGAGCATAGATATTTATCATGCCCAACTTGTTACATAAATAACCAACTCGAATTCCATTTAGTGCTTTAGTGAACAAATCTCCAAGTTGTTCCCCAGTCTTCACATATCATGTGGAGATCAATCCTTTTTGTATCTTCTCTCGAATAAAATGACAATCGACCTCAATATGCTTTGTTCTCTCATGAAATACAGGATTGTTTGCTATGTGTATAGCAGCCTGGTTATCACACCACAATTTAGCAGGCATTGATGTCTTCAATCCTAGCTCGGTCAATAAATGGCTTATCCATATGATCTCACATGCAGATTGTGCCATAGCTCGATATTCTGATTCGGCACTCGAACGAGAAACCACATTCTGCTTCTTACTCTTCCAAGATACAAGATTACCACCAACAAAGACACAATAACCAGATGTAGATCTTCGATCATCTTTAGAACCGGCCCAATCAGCATCTGCAAAACATTCTATTCTCATGTGATCATGGTTTTGATAAACAATACCTCGTCCTGGTGCACCCTTTAAGTAACATAATATGTGTTCTACTGCATCCCAATGATCAATGGTTGGAGATGACATGTATTGACTCACTACACTCACAGAATAGGCAATATCTGGACGAGTGACTGCGAGATAATTAAGCTTTCCAACCAGTCTTCTATATCTTTCTGGGTCTTCAAATGGTGTGCCTTCTTGTGTGAGTTGCACGTTGGGAACCATGGGTGTTGTACTTGGTTTTGCCCCTAATTTCCCTGTCTCAGCTAGTAAGTCAAGTACATATTTACGTTGAGATAGAAATATGCCTTTCTTACTTCGTGTTACCTCAATTCCCAGAAAGTATTTCAAAGAGCCAAGATCTTTCGTCTGGAATTGACTATGCAGAAAGTTCTTAAGGGCCAAAATACCTGCATTATCACTCCATGTAATCACAATATCATCAACATACACCACAAGCAATGTGACACCTGATTCTGTTTGTTTGTAAAAGACAGAGTGATCTGATTTGCCTTTTATCATTCCAAATTGTTCAATTGATTGACTGAATTTTCCAAACCATGCACGAGGACTCTGTTTCAGACCATAAAGAGATTGCTCAATATATCCCCCTGGGCAACAAATCCCGGAGGTTGCTCAATATAGACTTCTTCCTTAAGGTCACCATGCAAAAATGCATTTTTAATGTCCAACTGATGTAAGTGCCAATCATGAGTTGCAGCCAGTGAAATAAGTAACCTGACAGATGTTAATTTAGCAACAGGAGAAAAAGTGTCAGAATAATCAACACCATAGGTTTGAGCATAACCCTTCGCAACTAATCGGGCTTTCAACCGAGCAACAGATCCGTCTGGGTTAACCTTAACAGCAAAGACCCACTTACATCCAATAGATTTCTTCCCTGTAGGCAAGTCAACCAAATCCCAAGTACCATTAAGATCTAAAGCATTCATTTCCTCTACCATGGCATGCCGCCATTCAGGATGAGACAAAACTTCTTTGACAGATTTGGGAACAGAAATAGAATCAATGCAAGCAATAAAAGAACATGAAGCAGGAGATAACTGATTGTACGATACAAATGAAGAAATAGCTGGATGAGTACAAGACCGTGTACCTTTACGTAGTGCTATTGGGAGGTCAAGATCTGATGTGGAGACAAGATCTGAAGATGCAGGTACTGGTTCAGGACATGAGATCGGAGTCGAACTAGTATCAGGATAAGTAATCACAGGTATCGCCGGTGGAGGGTGATCAGGTGCTTTGTGTCGACGGGTGTATACCAAATGTACGGGAGGCCTAGGGTCAGGAACAGTAACTTGTGGAATATTTGTCGAAAGTGTGGACTCAGGAATAGTCATCGTGTAAATGAGTATATCATCATTACTCTCATGAATATCTGCCTTAGATGATGAAAAAGGTGTATTTTCATGAAATGATGCATCAATAGAAACAAGATACCGACCAGTACTCGGACAAAAACATCTATACCCCTTTTAGACTCGAGAATAACCCAAGAAAATACATTTTAATGATTTGGGATCTAGCTTTGTAAGATGAGGATTAACATCTCTAACAAAACAAGTGCAACCAAATATTTTAGGTGGGATAGGAAAAAGCTCTTTGTTTGGAAATAGACAATGATAAGGAGCTTTACCATTCAAAACAGAAGATGGCATTCGATTTATCAAAAAACATGCAGTAGACACGGCATCTGCCCAAAACTGTTTAGGCACATTCATTTGGAATAGAAGAGCCCTTGCAGTTTCTAACAGATGTCGGTTCTTTCGTTCTGCAACTCCATTTTGAGGAGGTGTGTCAACGCATGAAGTTTGATGAATAATGCCATGTTGAAGCATAAATGACTTAAATGTAGCAGATAGATATTCTTGGGCATTGTCTCCTCTTAACACCCGAACAGGAACGTTGAACTGAGTTTTAATTTCAGCACAAAAGGAAGAAAAATGAGTGAACAACTCAGATCGACGTTTCATGAAATACAACCATGTCATACGAGAATAGTCATCAACAAAGGTAACAAAATATTTAAAACCAGCTTTAGACACAACCGGACAAGCACCCCAAACATCAGAGTGAACAAGGTGAAATGGAGCATTTGCTCGTTTATTAACTCGCGGGCTTAAGCTAGTACGATGGTGTTTCGCAAATTGACATGACTCACATTGTAAAGAGGTCATCTTATTAAATTGGGGATTTATTTGTTTCATTAATGGGAGAGATGGATGTCCTAATCGGTAATGAGCATCTAACAAAGTCCCAACCCCAAGACAAGAGATACCTTTTGTGATGGATGTATCCAAAATATAAAGACCAGCTGACTCATGTCCTTTACCAATAATCTGCTTCGTTAACAGATCCTGAAACACACAGTATCCAAGAAAAAATGTTACAGAACAATTAAGAGTACGAGAGATTTTACTGATGGAAAGCAGATTAAATGCAAAATTAGGAAGACTCAAAACAGGAGATAATGGTAATGTAGAAGTTGGAACAACAGTACAAGATCCAAGAACGGGTGAGGTAGATCCATCAGCTAAAGTGACACTAGAAGTAGGTAAATATGAATGAAATGACGAGAATAGATTAGGATTACCGGTCATATGATCTGTGGCACCTGAGTCAATGACCCATTTCGAGGATGATGAAACAAGACATGTGTTTGAAATACCTGAATTCGCGGTTACCGAGATAGGGACAAATGAATGCTTTAGAGATTCTTGGTAGCAAATAAATTTGGCATACTCCTCTGAAGAAATAACAACTGATCCATCAGATGAACTGGTAGCGGAAGCGACACGAGCAAACTGATTTCCTTGATTTTTGAACAGCAATTTTCTACATTCTTTGATCAAGTGCCCCGGCTTCTTACAGTAATTGCATAGTACTCTTCTATCAAATCCACTCGTACAAAACATGTTTTTTTTTCGATTTTTTTTTAAATGAGACGGCAATTAAAAAAATTGAAATATTGTGAAATCTTATAGCAGCTTTCCCGTTTGTGGACTTAAAACTTGGACAGTAAAATACCCAGGTTGGGAGGTGAACCCAGACTTAATTTCACAAATGGGCTAAAGATGTGTCGGTCTAATGCCAGACCCAACCATCAGTGAAGAAGCCTTTGGTCGTTCACAAATATCCTATGTGAGACCCAGTTGATGCGAACAACCAGAGGAAGGGAAGGAGCGAAAGTCACAGACGGAGCATCTGATGTCGGACCCCAGCGACCAACCAGGTAACCACACCCGTCCCTTGCTGAAGAAAGAACGAGAGAAGTAAAGTATACCTGGTAGAGAATTTTCAGGCGAGTCTCGGGCGAAGAGTTCCGATAAAATCTCCGGCCAGAAACACGGCGTCACGCGCCGGCGCGTGCGTTGCTGCAGAAGTTTCTGACGGCGCGTGTAACTCACGCACGATGATCTGGGCCTGCGTACTTTGGTTTCTCGGTCGTCGGATGTAGCCACATCACCTGGGTATGGTGGTGATGAAATTTGTGGTCTGAAAATTGCTGAGGTCTGGTGGGCAGACTGTATGCGATGGAATTTTCTGGGAAATTAGCTTGGGCTAATTGATTTTCTGGGCTAATTGACTTTCTGGGAAATTAGAATGGTGCCTAGAGGTTCTGAAGAATCTGAAAAACTAAACTCAAGTAACTGAAGAATCTGAAAACTGAAATCCCTTAATTTGGAAACAAACTGGTGTCTGAAGAACTGAAGGTTCTGAATAATCTGAAGACTGAACTCAGGTTGTGACACCGCACCCGAACGTCCTTGAAAATTCCATTCTTAAATTCAAAGTGATGTATTGAATTCCCGATTTCAAAACAATGGAAAAACGATTAATATTTTACGTAGTACACGATTGAATATTGTATTGTTCAAACCCGTATTCTTTTATAATTTTCATCATGTAAATTATTGAGAAGATCCTACACATATTGGAGATCAATAATGTGATGTAAGAAGTTGACTTGTTCTAAATAAATTAGGATGAGTACAAAAAGACATCTTTTGACAAAGATAAACAATAGGATCCATCTTTCCATTTTTGGGAGTATTGGTAGATATTTTGGACCCCAAAATAATTGGGATCAATGGGGAACCACCCCACATGATATTAGTACCTGCAAGACAAATAAAAATGAGTGAGAAGACTTACCTTGGCCGACCACCATGGAGAGGAGCTGCACAAGACTTGATAGGAATCAAATGTTGGGCCACCATCTCTATTTTTCGCACAAAATGGTGTGCTGTTTGTCTCCACTCATTATGGGAGTTATACTCGACCAAACAACGTGTATAAGGTGTCCTTGGATAGATTTTGAAGTCTATTTTTATAATTGAGTGGTCTCAGTTCGAGAGGAGAGAGTAATCATCCAAAAATCGATCTGGAACGAGCAGTGGTCTGTGAACTCGAGCTGTGAGAGTGCTGAGACTGTTTGATTGATATCTCGAGTTTTACCAATCCAATTAAGGCGTGTGAGATACCAAAAGAAAGCTCTCAAGACGAGGAATCCGTGAAGGTCTGGTTTGCATCAATCGGAGAAGAGGAAGGCTTCCAAATCGTCCGAGCAGAACGCGACCTCGCAGGGACGGATTTACTCTTCTAAGTGAGTTTTTAATCCCAAAACCTTTCCATTCATTTTCCAAATGATATGAACGATTGGTGGGACTATTATACACTACTACAAGTGTATAAAACATCCCTATTAAGTTATTTTATTGATGTAAAGGTTAGATACTAACCTAGATGCAAATATTGGAAAACTAGGAATCGAGTTAGCCGGAAAACACCCGTTCTAGGGGCTGTTTTCGTATCAACGATTAGGCTGTTTAGCACCCATTTCTAAGCAAGGAATCAGTTCTCAAGCTTCCTTGGCCAAGGCTTTAGCCATTGGATCGAGAAGGAAGGTTTTAAAGCTCATTTGAGGTGAGGATCGACATCTAGTTGCTTACAACTTGTAGGTTAAGCATGAGATTACCTAAATGCCTAAATAATGTTTTCCATGGATTATGATGATAAATTATTGATGGAATATTGATCTATTTTCCAAAGAATGAAATGGGAAATGATTTGGTAAAGTATTGATGAAAATGGAGTTAAATGAACTATTGTGTGAAATAGACATTTTACTCATGTGTGAATTGTGTAGATACATAAATGATTATTTATGTATTACATTGAATGATTAAGTTGCTGCTACATATCTCTAAATATGTAGGGTTTTACAAATGGAATATATGATGGATAAGAATAATCTTAATAGTATTGAAATACTAGTTAATGATTGTTGTAATTGTTGAAGAATTGAATCTAAGGATTTGATTGTAATTGATGAACTTGATTGTGATGCAAGTGACTAAATTGATGTAATGTGATGCTAAGACCATGGTTGGGCAGTCCGTGAGGATGTCCCAAAATAGATTATTGATATTACAATTCTAGGCATAGCGAATGCTTGGGAATTGGGGTCTATGCCAATGTAAGGAGATGTACTTGAGCCGCGCTCATAAAATTGCATTGGGTAGACATGATGGGGTGATTGTTGTGCATGGTGATGTAGTTGAGTTGGACTCAAGAAATGCACGGTGGAGTAGTTAACTTGGGTTAAATAAGGTGCATGGTGATGTAGTCGAGTTGGACTCGAGAATGCAAATATATGTGTTAGGGTTGAACCCTATGTATTGTTGTGACTAGGGGTCACGGGATTTTGGGGTATGTTTGATGAACAAACCTTGGGCCTACGGGCCGACTACTTGACTTTATATATAAAGTAAGTATGCTTTTAAAAAGGGGTAACTTGGGGTTACGGCCTATATTATACTATCACCCTATTTGAGGGTCTTGTGTTTGAAATACTTGTTGTATATCTATTAGATGCCATCCACACCAGCACTTTATAGCCCTATAGAGTGCTGACCCCTTCGGGGGCGTCCCACCACCATTTTTCAGGTTGAGGCTAGAGCTTGCTTCCTGTGCTCGTTGCTCGAGAGATCATCTAGGAGCGAAGACTTGGTTCGTGCTTCCTCCATTCGGATTTTAAACATTAATAAACATGCTCATGGATATTTTACTATAGAGCCTGCGTGCTCATGAATAGCCCGGTGTGGCCTTTTTGTTTTAAACAATGTTTTCCGCTGCGTTATGAATTACTTATTATGTTTGTTTATGGATGTTATATGTGTGAATGATATTCATGACGCCTTGTATAATATGAATGTGTTGGACTGCGGTTGACTATTCGTATTGTACGGCGGGTTGTTGACGTGTCCGGGTAGGTCCGGGGCGTGACAATTAAGTTGGTATCAGAGCCTTAGTCCATAAACTTCATAATGAAGTCTCAAAATTCTCTTTTTGAAAATATTTTGAAAACCATGAGCATAGAAGTTTTGTACTTGGAGAGCTTTTGGTACTTGGGTTGCAAGGTCTCTAATTGTTAAGATGGTACCCTTAGCAATTGGTATGGCGGTGACTCGAGCCAAAATGTGTCTTAAGTACCTATCCGTCAATTGACATTTGATACGAGTCTAACGACTCCTTCCAAATTTCTTTCAGAAATGGACCGTGGTGGCAGGATTACTAGGAGAAACCCGACGGGCCGTGTACCAGTGGAGACTGGAAAGGGCAGTCGAAGGACCTCTAGGGCATCTAGAGGAGTTGGCCGTGGAGGCCGATCACAGACCGTGAGTGACGGTCATGTTGACACAGAAAGTGAAACCTACTGGTCCTATGAGGACTCGACTTACCAATCGGAGACCGAGCCGGTTGAGACCCCTTACGAAGGGGATGACGATGATATAAGTGATGAAGAAGGGGAGAATGACTCCCTAGCCAGAATTGAGGCGCTGCTCCAGCAATACCAGCGGGAGCGCGAGGGAAGGAGGGAACGCCGAAGGCGCCGAGGAGGGCGAACTTCGGGTGGGGCTTCAAGAGGAAGAAGCCATGGCGACTCTAGGGCCCACATTGAACCACATGGGGGCCGGGGTGATGGAGGTCCGATCATAAGGATCTCCAAATACCTCAAGGAGGCACGAGACTTGGGGTGCAAACCCTTCAACGGAGCGGGTGACATCTCGGTCGCCGCGGAATGGATCAAGAGGCTGAACGAAGCAGCCCTTGATATGCAACTCACCCCCGAGTTTAAGCTAAGGGTGGCGGTGAGGTTGCTCGAAGGGATGGCATCCACATGGTGGGACGGAGCCAAGGGAAAGTATGGCAACACGGTGACTTGGGAGAATTTCCGACAGGAGTTCTTTGCCCAATATTATTCTGATTTTGAGGTGAACGCCAAGAGGAGAGAGTATACCCTCCTGACCCAAGGGGGCAAAATGACGGTGAGGCAACTTGAACACAAATTCAGGGAGCTCGCGGAGTTCATACCGGAGTATATGTGTGACGAGAACCGGATGGTAAATCACTTCTGGGATGCCTTAGACCTGGAGGTGCGTGAGAGGGCAACACAGTTGCCTAACATGACTTTTAGCCAAGTGGTCGAGCAAGGGTTAAAAGGAGAGAAAGAATGGGAGGAAAGAAAGTTGAAGAACGCCGAAGAGGCAAAGAAGAGGAAGTGGGAGAACCATGGACATCAAGGTCCTAGCAAAAAGGGGAACCATGGGGGAGGGGGATCTTTTCGGACACCCCCACTGCCACCTAGGGGAAGTCATGGACCGGGCGGGCAATCACAAGCCTCAGGGGTGACTCGTTGCAAGAATTGCAAGAGGAACCACCCGGGGAAATGTCGTGACCCTCCTAGATGCTACCAATGCGGGAGCACGGGTCACATGAAGATGAGCTGCCCACAACTGGGCGGGACGAGGGCATCAGGGCCAAGTAGTGGTAATACCGGGACACGGAATCAAGCCGGGACTTCACAAGCGTCCAGGGGGCAAGGGGGAGCAAGCGCAAGCAACGCGCCGTCCGTGAATCAAGGAAGGACTCAAGCTAGGGTCTACGCGATGACGGAGGCGGATGCTCAAGCTAACCCGGATTCCGTTGCAGGTATTGCCTCTCGTACACTAGTGTTTTATCCTTAATTAGTCCATAAATTGAAGTTATAAATCCTAGAATCCAGGTGGGAGCAGACGTAAGATTGAAATGGGAAAGGAGAGCAAAACCATGCTACTACCCGACCGGGTAGGGCAATAAACCCTACCGGGTGGGACGAGTTTTTGCCCTCGTAAACCTTCTGGATCGCATACCCGATCGGGTTTGGTAATGAACCCGACCGGGTAGGCCAAGTTTTTTCACTCATAAGTCCACTGGAACACATACCCGACCGGGTATGGTGGTATACCCGACCGGGTTTGTCAAAAATTTCTGCCCGACACCTTCTGGAACACATACCCGACCGGGTATGGTGGTATACCCGACCGGGTTTGTCAAAAATTTCTTCCCGACACTTTCTGGAACACATACCCGACCGGGTATGGTGGTAAACCCGACCGGGTTTGTCAAAAAAAAATTCTGCCCGAACCCACTGGAACTTATACCCGATCGGGTATAGTATGTTACCCGACCGGGTACACCTCGAAGTGTTCGTCAAATGAAAAAGTTGTCTTCATGAAAGTTGTAGATATTTTCATTGTCTAAATGATGGAATTTGAATCGAACGATTTGGTTAAGTATGTGATGAGATATGATCAAAACGGTGAGACAGTGTCAATTTATATCTCAACTGCGAACGTCAACCATAATTGGGGGATTTTGCCCACTTTAAGGACATGATTTCGCATTATGTTCTTCGTAGGATTGGTCGGTATGTTAGAGAGGTATCTTACATGGCTTATAAATGTAGGAACACTAAAGATTAATGGGAGATGTGCGAGAATCCTCATCGATACCGGGGCGCAACGATCATTTGTGAGTGAGGCATTCGCCGGGGGATTCAACGCACCCCTAGTACCGATGGCTCAAGCCCTATTGGTATCCACACCCCTAGGGGAAGACATCGAGAGAGATAGCCACTATCCATCGTGTGAGGTGGAAGTGGAGGGCCAAAACTTGTCGTGTGATTTCGTGCCGCTGAGTATGATTGAGTTCGATGCAATCCTGGGGATGGATTGGCTTGAGAAGCATCAGGGTCGATTGTTACACGAAAGTACTTGAACTCGAAGGCAATGAAGGGGTAACCTTACGCTTCGAGGGGGATAGGGCAAAATCCAATAGTTGTATCATATCCGCTGTGAGGGCTAAGAATATGATGAGGAAGGGATGTCACGCATATCTAGCGTATGTGGTGGACAAAACCAAAGAAGAGACGAGCATTGATGATGTTAGGGTAGTATGCAAGTATCGGGACGTCTTTCCTAAAGACTTACCGGGACTTCCGCCCGATAGGGAGATTGAGTTCGTGATCGAGGTCGAGCCCGGCACCAAACCAATCTCCATACCGCCATACCGTATGGCACCCGCTGAACTTAACGAGTTGAAAACCCAATTGCAAGAGCTTTTGGATAATGGTTTCATTAGGCCAAGCCACTCCCCGTGGGGAGCACCAGTTCTTTTTGTGAAAAAGAAAGATGGGACACTTCGAATGTGTATTGACTATCGTCAACTGAACAAGGTCACAATCAAGAATAGGTATCCTTTGCCTAGAATTGATGACTTGTTTGATCAACTACGAGGGGCAACCGTGTTTTCAAAGATTGATTTGAGGTCGGGTTACCATCAATTGAAGATTAAGGAAGACGACATACCAAAAAGTGCTTTCCGCACAAGGTATGGGCATTTTGAGTTCCTTGTTATGTCGTTTGGGTTAACAAACGCCCCGGCGGCATTCATGGACTTGATGAACCGAGTATTCCATAAATACTTGGATCGATTCGTGATTGTGTTCATAGATGACATTTTGATTTACTCAAAGAGTGAGGAAGAGCATGAAGAACACTTGATACTCGTTCTTGAGACACTACGGGAGAAGCAACTTTATGCCAAATTCTCTAAATGTGAATTTTGGCTAAAGGAAATTGGCTTCCTCGGGCACGTGGTTTCAGGCTCGGGAATTGCTGTTGATAATAAGAAGATAGAAGCCATTACCGAATGGGAGAGACCAAAGAACGTCAAGGAAATTCGTAGTTTCCTTGGACTGGCAGGCTACTATAGAAAGTTCGTGGAGAAGTTCTCTGTTTTGGCATCACCATTGACGAAGCTCACTCGTAAAGGAGCTAAGTTTGTATGGGATGACAAATGTGAGGAGGGGTTCATGGAACTAAAGAAGCGATTGACCGAGGCACCGGTACTTGCATTACCCAAACAGGGTGTGGGGTACGATGTCTATAGCGATGCGAGCATCCAAGGGCTTGGATGCGTGCTGATGCAGAATGGGAAGGTAATCGCCTATGCTTCACGACAGTTGAAGAAGCATGAGGTGAATTATCCTACTCACGACTTGGAGCTGGGGGCTGTGGTGTTTGCACTGAAGATATGGAGACATTATCTCTACGGGGAGACATGTCACATATACACTGATCACAAGAGCTTGAAATACGTGTTTACTCAAAAAGAGCTAAACATGAGACAGAGACGGTGGATGGAGTTGATAAAAGACTACCATCTAGTGATAGAGTATCACCCAGGCAAGGCAAACGTGGTGGCAGATGCTTTGAGCCGGAAGAGCTCGTCTGGGGCATTGCTAGCTAATTTGAGGGCATTAAGAGCCCAACTGGAGGTATCCAGCGATGGTGCCTTATTGGCACGATTTGAGGTGAGACCTACTTTACTTGATGAGATCAAGAAGGGTCAAGAGGATGACGCAGAACTTATGAAGGTCCGGGAACGCATGCAAGCGGGACCGGTGGAGGATTTCAGGGCAAGAGATGATGGTCTCTTGTTATTTCGTGACCGAGTGTGTGTGCCGGCAGATGATGAGCTCCGAAAGTCCATCTTAGAGGAAGCTCATTCATCGGCTTATGCCATGCACCCGGGGGGCACGAAGATGTACCGCGACTTGAAGGAGAGTTACTGGTGGTCGGGTATGAAGAGAGAAATAGCCGAATATATCAGTCGATGCCTTACTTGTCAACAAGTTAAGGCAGAACATCAGCATCCAGCAGGCTTATTGCAACCACTATCCATTCCTGAATGGAAGTGGGAACACGTGACTATGGATTTTGTGGTAGGTTTACCACGAACAATCAGGAACTATGATGCAGTTTGGGTTGTGGTAGATAGGCTCACGAAGAGTGCACACTTCTTGCCTATCAACACTACTTACCCACTTGAGAGGTTAGCCAAATTGTATACGGATGAGATCGTGAGGCTGCACGGGGTCCCAGTGACCATTGTATCTGATAGAGACCCACGGTTCACATCACGTTTTTGGCCAAAATTTCAGGAGTCTATGGGAACGAAGTTGAAGTTCAGTACTGCTTTCCACCCACAGACGGATGGGCAGTCTGAATGTAACACCCCGCCCCGTAGGGCCCGAGGTAGTTACTCCGGACCAATAGTACTGTCCCCACAAACCACCACGAGCCTTTACCGCGCACTTTGTCCTCACTCATGCGCGCCCTGAGAAACTTCCCAGGGGGTCACCCATCCCAAGACTACTCCCGTGCAAGCACGCTTAACTTTGGAGTTCTTGGGTGATGAGCTCCCTTAAAAGGAGATGCACCTCTGTTGGTATGAGTAGTACTATTAATCCATTTATACTAAATCTCAAGTGTTACAATCACCCCCACTTAGGATCGCAGCGTCCTCGTTGCGCCCTTGAACCAATCTCAAATCTCAATCAAATCCCAGAATCCTCCCCCGCTAAGTGCCCGCCCGATATCTAACGGGTCAGCACATTGTCGCAGGGTTTCTCTGATACCACCTGTAACACCCCGCCCCGTAGGGCCCGAGGTAGTTACTCCGGACCAATAGTACTGTCCCCACAAACCACCACGAGCCTTTACCGCGCACTTTGTCCTCACTCATGCGCGCCCTGAGAAACTTCCCAGGGGGTCACCCATCCCAAGACTACTCCCGTGCAAGCACGCTTAACTTTGGAGTTCTTGGGTGATGAGCTCCCTTAAAAGGAGATGCACCTCTGTTGGTATGAGTAGTACTATTAATCCATTTATACTAAATCTCAAGTGTTACACTGAAAGAGTCATACAGATCCTAGAAGACATGCTGAGGGCTTGTGCATTGGAGTTCCAAGGAAGTTGGGACAACCACTTAGCACTTGTGGAGTTTGCCTATAACAACAGTTATCAGGCAAGCATCGGCATGCCTCCATACGAGGCATTGTATGGGAGGAGATGTCGTACACCGTTATGCTGGGACGAGGTTGGCATGGCCAAACTCGAGGGTACTGAGTTGGTCGAGGTCACCAAATCAAAGGTGAAGTTGATTCGAGAGAGACTCAAAGCGGCTCAGGATAGGCAAAAGAGTTATGCAGATAAACGTCGACGAACCTTAGAGTTTAAGGTTGATGACGAGGTATTCTTGAAAGTTTCTCCTTGGAAAGGAATCATTCGATTTCAAACCCGAGGAAAACTTAACCCACGATATATAGGTCCATTCAGAATTATAGAGAGGATTGGGGCCGTAGCATATCGTCTACAGTTGACTCCTGAGTTAGAGAAGATACACAATGTGTTTCATGTATCCATGCTCAAGAAGTATGTGCATGATCCCTCTCACGTATTAGAAAAGCCGCCTGTAGAGGTACGTGAGGATTTGAACTACGCCGTGCAACCAATCAAGGTCACCGATAGGAAGGTGAAGAAATTGAGAAGCAAAGAAGTCCCAATGGTTAAAGTACTTTGGAAGAGCGATCGGGTCGAAGAAGAGACATGGGAAACAGAGGCTTTGATGAGGAAGCAGTATGCTTTCCTATTCGGTTAGAACTGTGAATTTCGGGGACGAAATTCCTGTTAAGGGGGGGTGAACTTGTGACACCGCACCCGAACGTCCTTGAAAATTCCATTCTTAAATTCAAAGTGATGTATTGAATTCCCGATTTCAAAACAATGGAAAAACGATTAATATTTTACGTAGTACACGATTGAATATTGTATTGTTCAAACCCGTATTCTTTTATAATTTTCATCATGTAAATTATTGAGAAGATCCTACACATATTGGAGATCAATAATGTGATGTAAGAAGTTGACTTGTTCTAAATAAATTAGGATGAGTACAAAAAGACATCTTTTGACAAAGATAAACAATAGGATCCATCTTTCCATTTTTGGGAGTATTGGTAGATATTTTGGACCCCAAAATAATTGGGATCAATGGGGAACCACCCCACATGATATTAGTACCTGCAAGACAAATAAAAATGAGTGAGAAGACTTACCTTGGCCGACCACCATGGAGAGGAGCTGCACAAGACTTGATAGGAATCAAATGTTGGGCCACCATCTCTATTTTTCGCACAAAATGGTGTGCTGTTTGTCTCCACTCATTATGGGAGTTATACTCGACCAAACAACGTGTATAAGGTGTCCTTGGATAGATTTTGAAGTCTATTTTTATAATTGAGTGGTCTCAGTTCGAGAGGAGAGAGTAATCATCCAAAAATCGATCTGGAACGAGCAGTGGTCTGTGAACTCGAGCTGTGAGAGTGCTGAGACTGTTTGATTGATATCTCGAGTTTTACCAATCCAATTAAGGCGTGTGAGATACCAAAAGAAAGCTCTCAAGACGAGGAATCCGTGAAGGTCTGGTTTGCATCAATCGGAGAAGAGGAAGGCTTCCAAATCGTCCGAGCAGAACGCGACCTCGCAGGGACGGATTTACTCTTCTAAGTGAGTTTTTAATCCCAAAACCTTTCCATTCATTTTCCAAATGATATGAACGATTGGTGGGACTATTATACACTACTACAAGTGTATAAAACATCCCTATTAAGTTATTTTATTGATGTAAAGGTTAGATACTAACCTAGATGCAAATATTGGAAAACTAGGAATCGAGTTAGCCGGAAAACACCCGTTCTAGGGGCTGTTTTCGTATCAACGATTAGGCTGTTTAGCACCCATTTCTAAGCAAGGAATCAGTTCTCAAGCTTCCTTGGCCAAGGCTTTAGCCATTGGATCGAGAAGGAAGGTTTTAAAGCTCATTTGAGGTGAGGATCGACATCTAGTTGCTTACAACTTGTAGGTTAAGCATGAGATTACCTAAATGCCTAAATAATGTTTTCCATGGATTATGATGATAAATTATTGATGGAATATTGATCTATTTTCCAAAGAATGAAATGGGAAATGATTTGGTAAAGTATTGATGAAAATGGAGTTAAATGAACTATTGTGTGAAATAGACATTTTACTCATGTGTGAATTGTGTAGATACATAAATGATTATTTATGTATTACATTGAATGATTAAGTTGCTGCTACATATCTCTAAATATGTAGGGTTTTACAAATGGAATATATGATGGATAAGAATAATCTTAATAGTATTGAAATACTAGTTAATGATTGTTGTAATTGTTGAAGAATTGAATCTAAGGATTTGATTGTAATTGATGAACTTGATTGTGATGCAAGTGACTAAATTGATGTAATGTGATGCTAAGACCATGGTTGGGCAGTCCGTGAGGATGTCCCAAAATAGATTATTGATATTACAATTCTAGGCATAGCGAATGCTTGGGAATTGGGGTCTATGCCAATGTAAGGAGATGTACTTGAGCCGCGCTCATAAAATTGCATTGGGTAGACATGATGGGGTGATTGTTGTGCATGGTGATGTAGTTGAGTTGGACTCAAGAAATGCACGGTGGAGTAGTTAACTTGGGTTAAATAAGGTGCATGGTGATGTAGTCGAGTTGGACTCGAGAATGCAAATATATGTGTTAGGGTTGAACCCTATGTATTGTTGTGACTAGGGGTCACGGGATTTTGGGGTATGTTTGATGAACAAACCTTGGGCCTACGGGCCGACTACTTGACTTTATATATAAAGTAAGTATGCTTTTAAAAAGGGGTAACTTGGGGTTACGGCCTATATTATACTATCACCCTATTTGAGGGTCTTGTGTTTGAAATACTTGTTGTATATCTATTAGATGCCATCCACACCAGCACTTTATAGCCCTATAGAGTGCTGACCCCTTCGGGGGCGTCCCACCACCATTTTTCAGGTTGAGGCTAGAGCTTGCTTCCTGTGCTCGTTGCTCGAGAGATCATCTAGGAGCGAAGACTTGGTTCGTGCTTCCTCCATTCGGATTTTAAACATTAATAAACATGCTCATGGATATTTTACTATAGAGCCTGCGTGCTCATGAATAGCCCGGTGTGGCCTTTTTGTTTTAAACAATGTTTTCCGCTGCGTTATGAATTACTTATTATGTTTGTTTATGGATGTTATATGTGTGAATGATATTCATGACGCCTTGTATAATATGAATGTGTTGGACTGCGGTTGACTATTCGTATTGTACGGCGGGTTGTTGACGTGTCCGGGTAGGTCCGGGGCGTGACACAGGTTCTTGAAGAAAGAATCCAGAATCCAGTTTGGAAATTAATATGAAATCTTAAAAACTAAAATGGAATGGCTCTGATACCATGTTGAAATATAAACTACAAAATATAATATTGAAGATAGGAGGAAAGATTTTCTATATATTTCATTGAAGGGTAAGGCCCTATAAATATAGATTACAAAGATAGAATATTCATATAAAAGATGCTATACAATAATACTATGTATGGTATATTCCTAATATATTCTAAAGCATATTCTAAAGTATATTCTAATATACTTTCACAGTTACTAAGAAAGATATTTATGATTTTTTTAATGTTTTTTTGCAATGTAGAATTGACATCCAGGGCATTTCAGATGTTATTTTGGTTTATAGATTGGAATAAACTGGCCAGATTGGTTTTTACTTGTATGTGCATTTGGATAGTTGTTTGAGAAATTTTTATACTAACGTTTCTTAGAATAGTGCAGGGTTATGATTGTTATGCCAGGTATAACAAAAAATTATAAGTGAGAATAGGACATAAAATTTCATAGTTACCTGATATGTGGTTTAGTATGTGCCGTTAAATGAAAATGATGTGTTTCACTGAAAATTTAAGGTGAACTGTTTCTTTAAGCAACAGTAAATAAGGTGCTAGAAGCTATTGAATGTGTAATTATAAGATTCTGCAATTAGTTTAGTAACTATAAGTAATTTTTTTTAGTAACTATAAGTCGATTAGTAAGTATAGTAAGTTGATTGTGTGATATAGTATTATAGTTAGTTGAATAAGAGAATTAGTAATTTCTAGAGAAGCCCATCCGCACCTTGAACAAATCAATATGCTTTAATAAATGATTCCAAGTGTATGGAAAGGATATGACAATAGAAAAACATCAATGATAGTAACTTGGAAGAAGTAGCAATGTCTGATGATTCCAAAAATGAAATATTAAATTGGTAACAAAAACTAGGGAACTTCTTTCTTCAATTGCGTCTTCTCGACCTACTCATGTTTGCCTTTTAAGGGCCCATACTGATAGAGGTCATGAGCGCACTTCGCCCTGTATTCGATGACTTTTGCTGGACAAACCTTAGAGATATCCATCCGCATCTGTAGAACCTTCGAAAACTTGAGCATTAACCCACCACAATCACCCCTACAAGAGTTAAAAAGTACTACGTATTATTTAAGGCTGCAAATAAAACTGAAATGTGAATAAGATGCACATTGACTGAACTTATTTGTTGGGGAACATCTTTAACGACTTCAAATGTGATCACAATAATGTAAGAATAATAGCAAGTATACAAATTGCAAATAATCCCAAGATAGATCTTATATACGTAGGAATAGCTCAATATGGTTATTTAAATTCTCAATGTGTATGAGCTTTAACATAAATGTGTTAGAGAAGCCATTTCTATATCTTTGTTTGCAGACATATAGCAAACATATAAAAGGACAAAGGTATCATGGGTTCATTCTGAAATTGATTATGCCAACCAATGAGTAGAAGAATCATAGATTACACCAAATATTGGCTTTAAAATATCAATTCTTACCGTATAAACCAAATCCCAAAAATGGAGCTTGCCGGAGTCTTGAGACCTCGCCGTAAAATTCAGCGGAAACTGAACTAGGTTTACAAGTAATACGATTTAAAAGGAAGGCCGGACAATTTGTGAAATTCAGGGCGAGAGTTTCGGTGGGCAAGAGTTCTCACAGTGGCGCAAGAGTTTAGGTGTTTAACCGCTTAATTATATTCGGGAGACAGACTTCTAGCGGAACTCAGGGACGGTTATTAGGAGAGCAGAGAGGGAATGATGAAAGCCGGATTTTATTAATTTAAATAGAAGATAATCTCTAGTAATATTTGTGTAAACGAGTTATGGACTGGTAATATTTACGTAATTTTTTCATTTATAAAACTATTTTTATATCTTCCAAAAATTGAGAGTTGGCAGTTGATTGTTGAGATTAATAATAAAAAGGACAACTATAGTTGGAATTATTTAAATCTTATATATAGTTCACATTTAAAATGACATGTTATACCAGGTTGTAACAGGTTAGAGATTTTTTTTGGAAAATGGTCTGTATAGTTGGGACCACTCATAAATAATTGATAGTTGGAATAATTAACGGCGGACCGGTAATAGTTGAGATTATTATTTTCAATTTGTCCTTATTATTACTCTCTTTGGACTAGGTTATAATTACTAGTTTCACTTAGCATTATTTTCAAAGTGAATTCGTAAATTATTCAATCTTAATCATTCTCCATTTGTCTCTTGTTATTTAACTTCATATAATTTCAAATTTAGTTAATTGTGTCCTCAAATATTGTTCTTAAAATCGATATAATGAGAAAATTGTCAAATAGGTTCTCGAACTTTCATAAAAAAGTCAAATAAGTCCTTATATAGGAGGCACTGTTAATCCCTATTTCTAACAATCAAACAATCATAAGAATGAAAGAAGAAGCAGATAGATTCTCATTCAATATATAAATGTCGAGAACTTTGGTAGACCGTATGAAATGGCCGCTGCTCTCCCTCTAGAGAGAGAGAGAGCAGCCTGAAACTTTTCTATTCTATTCTGCCTCTATAGTCTAATGCCTTCGCTAGGTTTTCCTCATAAGTTAGCCTCCTTTTATAGAAGAGGATGGCTAACTTATGGCTTACAAGAGAGGCTAATGGGCTAATATTTAATGGTGGCCCATACTACACAAATACAAAGATATCTAACTAGATTGGACACCAGAAAAAGTCCTAACAATCTCCCCCTTGGTGTTCAATCTTGTTTGATCAGCATTGCAGTGCGGATGTCTTTGTCTTTGTGTTCAGTTGCTCCTCAATGCAGCTCAGCTTCCTTTGTCTTTGCACTCGGCTTCTGGAAAAGTCTTTTTGAAGAAATCCTTGCAATCTCCCCTTTGATGTCTTCATGGCAATTTGTTCTTTTATGCCAGGGAGTTGAAGAATCTTCAGGATGTAGGTTGTGATCTTTACCTTTCAGAAGTTGCTCTTGATCAGCATTAATGAATTCCGATGGCGCCTCTGGAACGAGTGTTCAGGTGATATACAGGTGCGCACATGATTCATCTTCAGAACTTGAATACTTGACCTTTGTCTCCTCAAAGTTTACGTGGCACAGCGGAAAATTATTGTTGTTGAGGAGATCTCGTCGGTGGCACAGCGGAATAAGATAGTTGACTTGTGAGCGTAGCTGACCATTTTATTTGAAGCTGGCTTGGCACTTGAGTGGAGAAACAAGAGTGTCATCGTTGTTGTTGTTGTTTTGTGCTGGAGGAGAGAAGTATCCAAAAATGATTTGTTGATAGTGACAGCATGTGGATTACTCTCCCCCTCATGACGATCCGATGAATCGGGGCGTCATGCCTTTATTCTTTTATTCTGGGAAACAAAATTGAAAACAAACAGAAAGGTTAAATGATAAAGACCGGATACACTGAAGTGTTCCGTTAACACAACATCAATGTAAACACTGATGTGTGGCCTGTATAAGAGGATATAAGCATTACAGCTCTAACAGGACTTCCAACCAATCATTGTGAAGCATCTGAAGTAGATGTCACTCTGGTTGTTAAGGCGTGATCATAAAGATCAGCAATGCAAATCGTAGCCCCCCGAGGTCGCATAGACACCTGTTATCATCACTATAGAGATAAACTCTAAAGCGATGGCCTGAACATGTTTGTGATTTCTATGTTGCAACAGCAGGACTTCCTTCCAATCATCGCTCTATCTATATCAGATGAGACCTATGGAAGTTCTCGCATGGTCACTTGGACCTACAACTGACTCAAAAGTGTGTTTGTGTCCTAGAAAATTCAAAACGTTTGGGAGTGAGATAACTAGACACAGCGTGATCAATGAAAGTTCAGTGGCATGGGGCTGAGGCCACTGTAGTCAGTATCACTTGCCTCGGAGGGAGACAATAATGAGAGATGAGGTTCCCCGTGAAATATGATTAAATACTTGTCTGTTGGGAGACAAATGAGTGGTCTTGGGTCGGGTTATGTATGCACTGTTGGACAATATGCAGTGACTTCTACCCGGGATCTGAATAAATTCAGTCCTGAACCTATGGGGATTGTCCAGAGTATTTGAGTGACTGGAGTAATTGATCAATTGATAGTAGGCAGTTGAGGTAGCAGACTCATCATTGAATATTGTTTTCTTGCTCACTTGAGCCTTCTGCTTCCTAACGCTCATAGTATTCACTCACTCACACATTCACTCATTTACTCTCGGTTTTGTCCCTTGGGTAGGCTTAGTTGGGTTTACTAAGCCATAGGGACTTCTCTCTTATTCTCTTTGTTTCTTCATTTTCTCTCTGTACTCCCCCTCAACTGGAGCACTCGGTATGCTTTGTGATCATTTGGCACTGGGGAGGATAAAATTGAAAACTCCCCCTCAAGTGTTGCATCCTTTGAGAGAATCCTTGCTTTGTCGTTGTGTGGCGCCAGGAGGAGAAAACTTTAACTCCCCCTCAGATTGTGCAAGGTTTGATTGCTCACGACTTGATATACCTGCCATATGTATGGAGCAATTTGTACAGGTACCACACATGACGGTTTACCCTGAACTCATCATCTAGAAATTTAGCACAGTGATGATCACACATTGTTGATGAGTTAGGGGAGGCATCAGTAGTTGATTGTTGATTGTGTGAAATGACCGTTGACGCGAGGTTGATTGAATTATCTACGAGTTCCGGACCTTACAGTGTAGATTAGACCAACTTTGACATTTGGTTTGACTTTGGTTTGATTTTGGAAGAATTGACCAGATTTGCCTCAGTTTTGACCTTGACTTTGACTTTGGTGATTTTTCAGAAAACATATGATATCTCCCTCAACAAAGGCGAGTGAGGGAGCGTGAGAAAGGGTTCTGGGTTTCCCCCAAGAAATCATGTTCACATTTTCATGAGCT